TATTTAATTACCATTTCATTTGACATCATTGTAATTAACGCGTAAAAAAATTCCAGACAAACGATTGAATATTATTATACAATAATTTGAAGATTTAATAATATATTGTATTAACCCATTTTTTTGCCAAAACAAAACAAAATAAGAAGAACCGTGTTATAGAAAAATTTTATTTTTTTTTAAATTGCACAAAGTTGGTTCATTTTTTTTATTCATAAAGGAATAACATAATATAAAAAATATACAAAAGTTTTTTTTTTGTTATAGAAAGGGATTCAAATAGTCACTTACCCTGCACATTTACGTATCAAAAATGTAGAACACTTTTAATACCACCTTGGTTCGAAGAGTTAAATAAATGTATTATTATTTTTTAATATTAATTTCCATTCGATATGTTCATCGATAGTTAAGCTAGAAAAAGTATCTTAATTTGGAATGAACGTTTTTGATAAAACCTCGGAATAGCTAGCGCGAGATCGAGGCTAATTATTTTCAAGGTCAACAGAGCCTGAAATTCGTTGTACTTTGCCGCGAAACGAATCTATCTTTACCCTACCGTTGGGTGCCATGTTCCGACAAAGGCCGACGAATATAGACGGCCGTTTCTCGAGATGTTAATTTGAAACACGACCGAGTCCATTCTACTTGGCTAAGAACAAACCTCCAAATGATTACGGGAATCATTTATCATCTATATATATTTATTATAACTTCTCCTACCTACCAAAATTATCCAATATTTTATTGTCTTTCTTTTTTCTAATCTCCTTTATCAAAACGATTTTCTATCGATAATTAAATTGATGAAAAATTTTGTATGAACAAAATATGAAAAACAAATAAAAAAATTGGTCAAGCTTAGATCAACTTGTTTGTAAAAATGATTACGATAAGCAGATTAAAAGAGTCATCGTACGACAAGTAGGTACAACATCAAATCAAAAAATCTGTTGTTTAAATTTCCATTAATGTCTTATTAAATATGTTAATCGATATCAGAAAGTTTATTTATGTTTGAAAGATAGTAACAAATAATTGATCAAATGTACTTAACTTATTTTTTAAATTATTTTCATTTGTATAGTTTGATAATAAAAAACGAAAGCAAAAAGAACTCAGTAAAAATATTTCAGTAGTTTGAATGAGGGGAATGATAAGGAAAAAAATAATTGTGTTAGATAGTTAGAGATAGATAAATAGATAAATAGAATGTAGTTATTTAAGCCACTCGAAATATGCCGGGTCGGTGTGTTCGTTTCGAGACGCGTGCCGCGAATGTATTTTCACAGTCAGTTGGAAATAGCCGTCGACCGATCTAATATTATAATAGCGATGACTGGTGGTGGGTTTGTAGAACGATGCTTGAGTCTTCTTCCCTTCAACAAGAAGAGAAAAAAGAAGAAGAAGAAGAAGTATTAATACTGATGGTAGTAGTGTTAATAGAAGTGATGTTGGTAGTAGTAATAGTAACACTGATAGTAATAGTAACAGCAGCAAAAGAAAAAGAAAATAAGAAGTAGTAGTAGTAGTAATAATGATAGTAGTAGTAGTAGTAATAGTAACTGCAGCAAAAGAAAAAAAATAAGATAAAGAAGTAGTTGTAGTAGTAGTAGTAACATCAGCAAAAGAAAATAAAGTAGAAAAAGAAATAGAAGAAGATGAAGAATAAGAATAATAATAAGAAGAATAAGAAGAAGAAGCAAAAGTAGAAGAAGCTTAGAAACGCACGCGCGTGCCGAAGTTACTAGCCGTGTTTTTAACGCTCCGTTAGTGCACAGCAAAAACGTCTAAAGTCTAAAGTGTAACGTTACTTCTTCTTCTTCTTCTTCTTGGTCGTCGTTGTCGTTGTCGTTGTCGTTGTCGTTGCAATTGCAATTGCCGTTGTCGTTTAGTTGTCATAGTTGTTACGGAAGACTTTAACCGTGACAGAGAAGACCTTCCTCTCTCTCTTTCTTTCTCTCTCTTTCTGTCTTTCCCTCTCCGTTTCTCTTTCTATTCGGTTTTCGTCGAGCACACAGTTTCATCTTTTCCTGCCAACAGAATGGCTCGTGATCGGTGTAGCTCTTCACTTTCAAACTCGCCAATTTGACGTTAGGTTAATTGGTGATTCAAAGATTTTTAAATACTTTCTCGAGAAAAATGATACAAACGATCATTCGAGACTAAAGAAAATAAACCATTATACTTTTCGATAAGATAAATTCAAAGATACCGCTCAGTGTGTATATATCTCTCTTTTGGCTTGGATGGTCACGTGGCCTTTACGATAAATGAGAACGGATTAGTAACAAATGGTCTTTGTTTAATACCAATACGAGAATTCGAATAAGAGTATCGAGTTGAGGTATTTAATCGTGTAATCCTTCTCAGAAACGAGAATTAGAAAGTTTCGAGGAGCAAGTTCGTACGCGTGTGAATTAGTGTTGGGATGGAAGATTTAAACGTTTTAAGCAAATTTATTTAAAAGAAAGAACAAAATAAAAAATAATATAAGAAGTAGAGTTTTATTTGTATTACTTCATGGAAACTGTACACGTGTATATTTTTCTATGTCTACTCATGTACTTCTTGTTAAATATCGTGAAAACTTATATTATTATTTGGTTGAAATCATAGTTAACAGATAAAATAAACAAGAATTTTTGCCCTCGCGCACATGTGTTCCTATGTGTATGTTTGTGTATGTGTGTGTCTGGTTAAAAACGTATAAAAAAGAATACGAGTATACGTATACACGTGTGTGTATCTGTTCGTGTACAATTTTTGTACACTTCGTAAATTCTTCAATGAAATTAAAAGTGTTCACATATGTAATCCCATAGTGAATAATAATAGTAATAATAAATTTATCGTTGAATTGTTTAACGAGATCGAAATCGGAACGCATCAGTTAGAAATAATTTTGTCTCGTTAAGCGAAAGTGTTTTGACTCGATTAATTTGTTCGTGTTCTCCAGCATCGTTAGTAACATCGTAAGTCGTCCATTTGCAGTCCTGACAACGATGCAATTCTTGTGACCCTACTTCACATCGTTAATCTAAGGGACACCACTATGGCCGACAGGTTTCGTAAAATGGTAATTCGATTCGATTAAATTCGATAATTCAAATTAAAACAATTTACCATTGATCGTAAACTTAATATTTTAACATTGCGATTTATTAATTGATTTAAAAAAACAAAATTATTATAATATAAAATAATAAAAAAAAATACAAAAAAAATAATTTAACTTTAATAATTAACTACATATAAATTTGACTATGTTTTAAAGAACATCGAAGTAATTGCGAGCGTTGAACGCTTCCTCGAAGGGGTATCACCCCACCTACGCAAATTTTCTATAAATATTTCGTTACTCTCGATAAATCAACTGTGCTTGCTTGCTTGCTTGCTTGCTTGCTTGCTTGCTTGCAAGCTTGCGTTAAGACACGTGCGCGGACACACACGTGTGTGTGTGTGTGTTGTATCCTTTGAGTTCATAAATAGTAAGAAATATATATCTATATTAAAAGTAAAAAACAAATCTATATTCTAAATATGATACACGAAACACGAGATTTATTATATTAAAAATAAATTCTGTTAAAAAACGTAAGCAATAAATCAGATTTATAATCTTACTCTAACAACAACAACAACAACAACAATTACTACTACTGCTACTACTACTACTACTATTACTACTACTACTACTATTACTACTACTACTACTACTACTACTACTACTACTACTACTACTACTGCTACTACTACTACTACTACTATTACTACTAATACTATTACTACTACTACTGCTACTACTACTACTACTATTACTACTACTACTGCTACTACTACTACCATGTTAATCGTTATCGATTGTATCTTGTAGGATAATAATCTTATCCTAGAAATCACAGCTAAACTAAACTCTACGCAAAGGATGTTTTCCGTTTGGATAAGCAAATCTATCTAACATTGGGTTGGGGGGAGGGTGTAGGAGGGGTTAACTCATTGTTAAGCTTCCTATGGGGAATGAGGTTGGTTGATAGAGTAGGCCGAAAGAGTGGAGAATGGAGAGAAGAGAGAGAGAGAGAGAGACTATATAAGAGTAGTACGGAAGGAGGGGGGGTTAGGGACTAACTAGTTAATTGATTTTGAGACCTCAAGCAGACTAGATTAGCCCGCGTGATATTCTGCTTCGACGGTGGTTGTTTATGCGAGATGTCGTTCGGTGATCGCTCGTTTAATAACGTTATACCCTATTATAAAGCCACATATAAAGAAGGAGAGAAGGATGGGTGATGAAACTCCGTCTTCTTTTCGTATTAATACAACACGCCGTGCTGAACGTGAAACGTTATTATACCGAGTTCTCGTAAAAAGATATCTTCTCCCTTTGGAAAGTCTTTAAGAGCTTACTTAAAACCATCACCAAGTAATCTTCTTAATAACATTTCGATAACATCTTCTTCATTCTAACTACGATTTTCTCGTCATTTATTATTTTCTTAAGTCGTTCGATCGAATTTTTTACTTTATCGATTTTATAATCGATATGTGGAAGAAAAAGGGGAAATGATTAAAGACTCATTATATTTGCTTGAAAAATGATTTTTCTATTTAAAAGAAAAATCATTTTTTAAATTACTATTTTATATACTTTTATTTATTTAGTTCAATATTTTGTATGATAATAAATTTGTATTAGTATCATCTCATGATTATTATATTATATAAAAATTAAAACTTATATATATAAATTGAATTAATTAAATGATTCAAATGGTAATAATTCTTTTTTAAAATACTAATCAAAAATATTATAAAAAATATTGATTCAATAAAAGCCTATTTTTTGTTATTTTATAAAATATTTAATTAATCATTTTTCTTTATAGAAAGAAATTTGAACAAAATATTGTGTTGTTAAATTTAAACAAATAATTTTTGTTTTTCGTTTTTCTGGTATTGTATACAGCTTTCTTATAATTAATTAAATATATTTGTTTCAGGTAAACGGCGATGATGATTGGGAGTATGAGGAAATCGTGTTGGAAAGAGGTGGAGCCGGTTTGGGTTTTAGTATCGCCGGAGGTACCGACAATCCTCACTTTGGTAACGACACAGCGATTTACATCACCAAACTCATACCTGGAGGTGCAGCATCCGCGGATGGACGTTTACGTGTTAACGATACGATCCTTCAGGTGAACGATGTCTCCGTCGTCGACGTACCGCATGCGGCCGCCGTAGATGCCCTCAAACGTGCCGGCAATACCGTCAAATTGGTACGTCGAATTTTTTGCTAAGTCTTTTCTTTTTTTATTTCTGATAATTAGATCAAGCCTAAGAAACATTTAAAACAAATTCTTACGATTATTAATTTGAAATAGAATTAATTTAATTTAATACAAGAAAGAGACTAGTTTTGTTTTTCCATTTTATTATTTTATATTTTTTAATTTAAGAATCATTGTTTTATAAGCTATTAGTTTTTTTTCTTTATTTAAAAATTACAAAATATTATAAAATCTATATTATTAGATTAATTATATATATGTTATAACTAAAGTGAATCAATTAAATAATCTTAAATATAATTAATTACATTATTTATTAAATTATCCAATATATATTATTATAATATTTTTCTTCATAAAAGGAAATTTTGCAAAAAGTATCGTACACGTAATAAATTATATTTTTACACATACACATATAAAACTTACTGTAGATTAATTTTGTATCATTTCGAAGATCGTTAAATTTCTACATAACTTAATCCTTTCAATGAGACAGAATTAAAATAAAATTAATTTTATTATTTCATAAAACATTTTTTCAATAATCATCGATTTTTGAAAAATAAATTACGAGTATTCTCTCTTCGTCGTACAAAACGAAAATAAATTTGTCATTATAACAAATGAACGTTTCTCAAAAGTTTACCACATTTTTAAAGACGAACCATTAAGAAAGAAAGGAATCTTAGAGAGCAGGTAAATGATAGTCGCTTCGGGACTTTTAAAAAGTGGAAAAGAGAAAGAAAGAGAGATAGAGAAGAAAGAGGAGGTTAAGGTAGAGGGAGGGAGGAAGGGAAAGGGGTGATATTCGGGAAAAGGTTTTATGACAAATAGATATAGAAGTCTCCCAAGTTATCTTTCTTCTTCCTCTTCTCGAAAAGTTGTTCTTCGTTTGAGAACTTCTCGATCGTTTTCATATAAGAAAAGGTAAAAAGAGGGAGAACGTATTTATATATAAGGGAAGCGATAACAACTTGTACTGTACGAAACTTATGCTTGTGAAACGAATTCAAAGGGAACGTCTTCATATTCTCGTTAGTAAAGATAAAAATCAAAATTTGTCGATCAATGGTTAGAAGTCTTATCGAACTATCGTAAAAATTACCAATTTTTTTCTTTTTATTTACAAAAAAGTAAACCATTGTAAAAATCGAATATATTTTTTTAATTGATTTCGAATCTGTAACAACTTTGTACAGGTTGAGAAAAGGTCGCGGTTTATTTCACGTTCTCGATTAGTTTCGCGAATGTTATCGAAAGAAAGGAGGAAAAAAACTACGAATTCGTTGATAGGAATTGATAGGTTCGATATAAAAAACTAAAATAGAATTTTTGCAATTAATTTTTCTACGTGAACCTTTTTTTAGTTTTCATTTCCAGGGAAAAGAATGTAACGCGTATCCTACATGTAAACGAAAGCATAGCAAAAAAATAAAGAAAAAGAAAAAATGAACCAAACTATGTCGTTCGGTACGAGAAACGTAAAGCACGGTAAACTAAACGATAAAATAAAAAAGAAAACACACAAGCAAGCAAACAAGCAAGCAAGCAAGAAAACCAACAAAAAAGAAAACTAAATTTTTCCTTTCCTGTATTGCTGTAACATGTAATTGCATGATTCATGAAATGTTGTTTTCTTTACCATTTTCAATAGTACGTTCGCCGACGGAGACACACGCAGCTGATGGAAATCGAATTGATCAAAGGAAATAAAGGTCTCGGCTTCAGTATCGCTGGCGGTATTGGCAATCAGCATATACCTGGTGACAATGGAATATACGTTACAAAAATTATGGAAGGTGGAGCTGCACAAGTGGATGGTCGTTTAGTTGTTGGGGACAAATTGGTAGCTGTCAGAAATGCCATGGTGAATATACATGTTTATTTTCCCTTCATTTTTACATTACATTGACAATATATGTTAATAAGATTAGATATACATATAGATACAACGTATGTAAAGTTTGCTAAAAAAAAAAATTCTAATAATTTCATATTATATATACTTTCGGTTAAAGGAAATAGTTTAGTTAATAAGTATAGTATGTATAATCTACTACTATTTCCAGACTAATCGTTGTGGTGGTCCCTTTTAGAAAAATAAACTCGTGATCATTTTTCATTTTAAAAGGGCATAACTATCACTATCACCGCCACCATCACCACCTCACTTTTCTAGATTTTCAAGATAAAACTTCCAATGGAATGGCCGGTTAAGTGCAGATGAGAAAAATAGATTAGGGCGGTTCGTAGCTCGTGCAAGTTTATAATTGATAGCTCCTATCAGTCAGTGATATATATATATATATATATGTATATATATATATATAAATACAGGGTGCTTCAGAAGATTTCTCCTAAACTTCTTCATAGTAGTTTTTTTATGAATATGATTATAATAATCAAAAAATCAAAAGGTTGGTATAAATAAAAATGCTTTGTTTTCCAGTTAAAGTCGATCAAAAACCTTCTGAATTATTTTCTTTATTTCGATAGTAAAACGTTACTTTAATTTACAAATTCAAATTTGTCATATTAAATTATAAATTTCCGTAAAAGATTCAACGAAAAATTGGTCCCCAATATCGTCCAGTGAAGGCTTTATGAAAAAAAAAATATTCATTGAAAAGTTTTTTTTTACTAAATTATTTATAAAAATTGTAAAAGAAAAAGAAAGAAGTTTACCGACAAATCTTATAAATTATTTAAATTTTGAACAAATTTGTGTAAAAAGAAAAATTGTGGTTTGAAATATTTAACTGGCTTTAACTCGAAAACAAAGAGAACTTTGTCATTATTTTAATCACAGGAATATGCTCGTGAAGTTTAGCAGAACTTTCATGAAACACCCAGTATATATATACAGAAAAGAATTCGTTCTTTCTCTAATTTCCTATCACCAGCACTACCATCATCTCCCATTTTACCTCGGTAGATGCGAATTTCTCGTCATTTCGAAACTTCCTATTACGATCTTTCGCATCAACGCTCCAGCTTCTCTTTTTTCTTTCTCCTTTATTTTCTTTTTTCTCCTTTTCATTTACGTTTCTCACTTCCGAATCATACAAGAAAGAAAATGCGGCGATTAAAACGACCATGGGGGTTTCTTATTGTCTTGATTTATGACCATGAGAACAATTTTTAAACTCGCTCTACGTCATTTTTGTTTTATTTCCTTTCAAATTCTAGTAAAAGCAATAAATAAATATATATTTATGGTTTATTGGATAGGCGAGATCCATTTAAAAAATAAACAGGGTTAATACCAAAAAACAATGAAAAAAATTTATAGATATATATTCTACTTGATCATTTCTACTTTTCAAATATTCGTTGTTTATGTGTCCCTTATCCACTCTTGAAATAAGTGTCACATATTATAAAACACCTTATATACGTGCAGCAAGAACATTAATCGTTAGATATTTACTACCGTATATAACTTTCTTTACAAACTATGAATTACTTCGTACGTTATTGAAGTATCCTCAGAATCTTAATTAACCTTACGTACTTACTTACTCAATCGACGGTTCTGTGCTTTTCTCATCTAACAAAAAAGCTGGCAAACGTGGTATCTATATGTATATATGTTTTGATATACTTTACACATACACACACACACACACACACACACCCATGTATACATACATATATAATATATATATACATATATATATATAAAAGAGGTCCAAGAGTTAGATTCTGAAGTCGATTTAACTTTGCGCATGATTACGTGCCACTAAGCTTGCTTCGTGTCCGTAGAAAGTTCGTCAGATGTTCGCGACAGTGTTAGCAAAAGTTTCCAACCCCGTAGCTTTTTCCTATGTCGCACTACAATCGCTCTTCTGTAATTAGCTCAACCCGTCTCACTTTCAAGACCGCTCGAGTAAGAAAAAAGGATAAAGTGATCATTCTTTTTTTTCCTTTTTTTTCTTTTCACTCAATATCATTCCATCAAGATTAGCTTTCATTTCAATTAAAAGATCTATTTTCCTTTTTTATTAATTCTTTCTTTTTTTCCGTTATTTCTTACTTTCACTCAATGAGATTTATATAATCTGTAAGATTAAACAAAAGAGATATCTCTAAGGATTATTCTATTGATTTCAGCAGGGCGACAAGAATCTTGAGAACGTGACGCACGAGGAAGCTGTGGCTACTTTGAAGGCAACTCAGGATCGTGTTGTTCTTTTGGTGGCTAAACCTGAAGGCACCATACCACCACCACCGCCAGCTTCGGATCGTTCAGTTTCACCACAACCACGTAAGTGTTTACATTCATTCGTCTACAGAATTAAGCACGAGTAAATAAATTTACGTTATAATATAATATTGTTTTCCTTCTTTTAATTGTATTTATAAAATTCTTACTTATAGTACAATCAAAACCCTTTTACAAAACGATATTCCTTTATAACGTAATTATTAATTAACGAAAATTTATCAATACAACCTACACAAAACAAAATTAACCCATTTGCATCCAATCGTGGAATATTTCGCATAATTAGTTTTTCTATTTGTGATCATTTGAACATTGATACAAGTCAGTTGAACATCGCTGATAATTTAACAAGAAAACTTAAGTAGTGTCATGATGCAAATTGATTAATAATATTACTGATTATTATTAACCCCTAGTCCTCGTATTTTAAGATACTAAAAGAAGTAAAAAAAAAAAGCTAATAAAAGTTCTTTTCTACTTGGAGATAAAAATATTCTTATCTCATGATACCGTTTACCATATTCAACATAAACATTTAAAGAAGTTCACTTATTTTCTTTCTCTATTTCTTGAGCAAAAAAAAAAAGAAAAGAAAAGAAACGAAAAATAAGAGAAAAAGGACTACAACAAGAAAATTGTTGAAATTTAAATGAAAAGCATGTTGATTTTATGGATAAACAGGGAAGAGAAAAAGAACAACAAGAAGAAACAAGGAAAAAACAGTGATAAACACTAGTAAAAGAATAGGATAGAAGAAAATGTTAGAAATGAATTTTTGATCTTAGGATCTTTTCAAGATAAGAATTCTCTTTCTATCTTGAGTCCGTGATCGGACGTAAGCGTAACTTATTCATCGTCTTCATAAAGCAGCCTCGTAAACTCTCGTCTTGAGTCATCTCAAGACGAGAATGCGTGCCTTAGACTCCTCCTACCCTACGGTCCTTAGTTCAGGACTCATGACAGAAAGGGTGAGACGATGTAAGGGGAAGAATAAGACGTCGGAGAAGACAGCAAAGAAAGAGAGAGAGATAGAAATAAAGAGAGAGAGAGAGAGAGAGAAAGAGAGGGAAACTTCTTCTTGAGTGTGGGTTTATCGTGGCTGAATTCAAATTGCTCCTTTAAAACAACGACGTGGAAGTATCAAGACAGCAGAGGAGGAAGAAGAAAAGGAGGAGGAGGAGGAGGAGGAAGAGGTGGAGCTGAGAGGGTGGATGGAAGGTTAGAGAAGAAGAAGAAGAAGGAGAATAGGGTGGGGAGGGAGGATCGGTGCTCTCGCCTTCCAGCAAGATTATCCGAATATTTGCCTTAATCTTTGTAGAAATGGCCGGAGGACGTGCTAAATTTCATGGATAGAGAAAATGAGCAGGGGATGGGGGTGGAGGATGAGGATGAGGAGGGAGGCGGTGCTTGGAAGGGAAGGTGATGAGAGGAGGTTGAGCAAGTCGTTTGCCTCTCGTCTCGTTTTGCGAGACTGTAGAACGAAAATTTTATCGTCGATGCTGCCGCTTTTTGATGGTTCAATGCTTTTTCTTTCTTTCTCTTTCTTTCTCTCTCTCTCTCTCTCTCTCTCTCTCTCTCTCTCTCTCTTATTTCTCTTTCATGAGAGCGAAGCAGCAAACGCGCGCGTCGAACTTTTTTATTATTTCTTTTCTTGTAGCCTGGCGAAACGTTGAAGCTTTCGGTGTGCGTTTTCTCGTATATCGCGAATAAAAATGACGGGATAGATGTATGGGAAGGGGGTAAGATAACAAAGCTTTAGTTGATGTCTTCCGAGTGGCTCGTTTCTGTCGGCTCTTTATCGCATATCGCCGCGATTTCTCTTTCTCTCTCTCTCTCTCTCTCTCTCTCTCTCTCTCTCTCTCTTTCTTTCTAATTCCTCTTTATGACAAGTTTTATAGCCGATAGAACACTCGATAAAATCACTTGGATCTTTTTATTCGGATTTGACCTGCTTGCAAAGGTTGCTGCTGCTGTTGCTGCAATTGATATGTATGTCGTTGATAAAGATATATATTTACAAATGTTGAATAAAAGCTTTTATGATTGGTCATTTTTTTTAATTGTTTTTTTTTTTTTATTTTGCGATATTCAACACATGATCTGATTAAAGCTTTAAGGAGGAATATAAAAATATATTTTTATTATGTATGTATATGTAGGAATAAAAAATAATTGGATACACGTGTAACGTATTAATGTAGTCATTTATATAATTCAGTTAAGTTTAATTAATTTTAACTTTTTCGATGTCTGTTTTATTTGACAGGTAAACAAAATGGAGCAGTGTCGGCGTTGGAGAATAATTCAACACTACCGTATTCCCAAGAATCTCGTCATGCGTCGTCTCTCGCGCTTCACGGCGTCGCGACGCCTCGTGCCGTTTCACAAGAGGACGTATCTCGGTGAGAGTTCACTTTAAAATACATATTTATTATTTTTTGTTTGTTGTCTATTTTTTTTTTTTTTTTATTAAAACCATCCGAGCATAATATATACATATATCATTCTTTCATATAACGTACATATTTTTCGTGAAATTTAATAGAAAGAAACAAATAGCTCCCCTCTTTTTATTCTGTTCCATTGACACGACCGAATTTTAATGAGACAACAATTTGGTTTGATCATTACTCGTTCGTTTATGATGTTACTCGTAAATATGAGTTATTTCGTTGCTTATCTCTTTCTCTTTCTCTTTATCTGTTAATAATGTCAACATTTATAAGTGTGTTAGTTCATGCGAGTAAAGATAGGATTGGTTAGTTTGTGGTTATTGTGTAGTAAAGCTTATTATGCAAACACAAAGCTAAATCATAGAAAGGACAATACTATCGAGAATGTTAAAACTCAACCGAGCATGTATTCTATAAATGAGTAGGGGAACAGTTTCGAAAAGGTCGACGTTTGATCGGGACAAATCCTATACGAATCCCTTTTCCAGAGATAGTAGAATGGAAGTAGAATGTGTGTCGAGAGTTGTAGAAGAGTTAATTTCGAATGTATCGAGGAACTTATCGAGTCGGTTTGCTCGACAAGCTGAGGGAATCGATGAGAGAACGCGTTGTGTAATGTACGGAAGGTAGAGGTGTACCACCACCATCTCATTGGCTCGTTCTATTGACCCAACTGGTCGATGTTGACCTCATGTAGTAGTAGATATCCTCTCTATAGAAAGATAGACGGGTTCACGAATAAGAGTATCTACCTACTCTTACGTCTGAGAGTACCTTCGTCCTCGTGATTTCTACTTCGTTATATCGTAATCCGAAAGAAGTATTCACGAAGTTTAGAAATCCCACTCTTCCTTCCATTGAGTAGATGAAAAAGTTCCATGACTCGGAAAATTGAGCAAAGTTGTTGTCTTAGATGGTTCTATTTTAAAGACAATGCGATGTTACATCTCAGAATTAACACCTGTTCTGCTCAATTCTGTCCCTTCCTCCTTAGAAGATTCACGGACCACAGATAATGAAATATTCTATTCATAGTAATTCTTAATAGCAAGTTCCCCCTGAAGTACGAATAGTCGAAAGTGCGATTTATCCTTGGTTCCTTCCTTCCTTCCTTACTTACTTACTTAGTTACTTACTTACTTACTTACTTACTCTTTCCCCACCTTCATCCAGTCGCGTTCAGTAGCAACTATCTACGTCGCTCGTACCTCTTCAAAATCCTTAAAGTTTTGCGACCTTATCCTCCCTTTTAGCTTAAGCTTTTCAAAGATTCCACCTTAGCCGGAAGGGATTTGGCGAGTTGTACAACGAGAGGGAAACGAGAAAGAGGAAAGTTACAGACGTAGAAAATGCTTTGAAAGTGGATGGGTAGCCGACTGAAGGTTTAAAGAGAAGAAAACTACGAGTTATTACGGTACTCGAGCATCAACCTAAATGCACGCAAAAAACTTTAATTTCTTCCCCTCGTAAATTAGCCGGAACCATTATTCCCGTCACTGTAATTTACTCTTATACCATCTTCGAACCATCTACCCCTTCCCCCCTTTTTCCCCCCACCATCACCCCCATTCACGCACACCACTTTCCATTCCTTTTCTTTTTCTTCTCCATTTTTGTTTTTTTCTTTCCTTTTTTTCGGTTGAAGATATAGACGAGCAGCCGGTGAAGAGTTTAAAGGAAAATTAGGGTAATTATTTAGTAGTCCTTCTCGTGAAATCTTCCACAGAACCTTTGAGACATCCTTAAAATAGCCTTAGGATAGCCTTTAGATGTTCCTTCCTCCTTACTTCTCGTAAATGTCCTCGTGAAACTCGTAAACTCTAGAGTGATTCCTAGCTAAGGTCCTTTCACACACAAACTTTCAAGGAATTAATAAAGTTTCACCGTCGTTGGGCTACCACGATTTCTGTTACACGTTTTAAGTCGCTAGCAACGTTTAAGACTTTCAATCGGATTTTTTTTCTTTTTTTTTCTTTTTCTTTTTTTTTTATCGAGAACAAATACATGTAATTTAATGTAAAACTGAAAACTAACAAGGAGATTTGTATTTTATGGCCGATATTTATCGGATCTGTTTTTGTCAACATTTTTATTCATCATTTGATATAAATGATCATTATTTATAATACAATAACGATGCGTAATATTAGTCAGCATTACATCTGTTAATACAAAATCTCTCAATATATATATTGAATAAATGGTAAAATATTAATAATAAAATATGTACATGTAATAATGTAACCTGTCAATAGTTTTGATCTAAATTTTACATAAACCAACAAAATGCGATTCGACACTTAATAATTTATACCGAACCAAATATTCATATAAATTGATCGTTTATTTTACAAAATACATATCGCGTAAATAAGTAAAAATAATCGACCATAATAAATAGTGGGCATTTATTTATTTGTCATTCTTACAATTTGTAATATAATATATTATTCTCGTTATTTTAGTTTTAATTTGGTTATATCACGACTCGATTGATATGCACTCCGTTAAACAACTCGACACGTCGTTAAATTCGTTCGGAAATATCTCCCCTCGTAACTTTTAACGGATTTATCAGGAATAGTAAAAATTGTACCGATTGCTTATTATACGACACGAAACTGTCGGATCTTAATAGCATGCAGTTACGAAGCTCAGGTGTATTCTAAATTTATGAGTGGGGTTAATAGTTCAGACTACGCCTCGAATCCTTCACTGATATTACGAAGGATTAGAAAACCGTAATGCTCAATGATTAAACACAAGTTTATTTCAAAATGAAGAATTTACTTTGACATGCGATTCCTATATAAATAAAAAAACAAATTTTCTCTCCCTTTTAATTTTTACTCATGATATTTTTTCTCTTTTTTTTTTTTTTTTAATTTAAAAAGGATATCGAATTTTTATTACACTTTTTCCATTTATTATTTAAAGATCATACATAATGAAATTCATTTAATACGAGAACATTCCGTTATACAAATTTCGAATATAATATTAAATAAATATTTTCAAATATATATGTTTCATATAATGTAAAATAAATTTGTGCACAAGTACATACAAACATTTTATTATTAATACGTTAAATGCTATGTCGAGGAGTAACTGGAAATGCTCAGTATAATAAATGCATTACACGCGTTAATATACTTTAACTTATCTGTTTTAAATAATAATTCAATATAACATCTAACATAATATCTAACAAATTATTGTGTCATTCAACGTACCATTAAATTATAAATCTTAATAATTGCATGAATAACTAACTATCCTTTTTTTTACAAATATATGTTATACAAAGTACTACAAATTCTTTGAAGAAAAATAATATATAAACGGAAGTACGTATTGTTTAGTGTACATAAATATATATATATATATAGTATGTGTAAACATATGTATACACAGAAACGTATACGTATGAATCGTTTTAAGGAATACACTTGGATATATATGTTTGTGTTTATATCTATATTCCTATATACATTTGTCGAATGCGGGCCAGGGTCAGAGCTAACTCAGGTCACGAGCGTGATACTACTACTATCGCAATTCTGACATTGCTTACTGCTGTTGGGTTCCCGACGCTTTCGCTTGCGTAATTTAACAGTATCGTATAGAATCTACACTTTCCTCGTTTTCCCTCCTGGAGATAATGTTGAATTTTCAGCTTGCGCCACCAACCCTCTCGCACGTATTTCGAATTTATCTCGTTACCGTCATAAAACTTTTCTCGCTTTTGCCCTCTGTTCTATTCTCTTTAAATTGTTCCATGTAGTATAACATATACTTATACATACGTATATATATATACCGTTGGTTTATCTTCATTTTTTGTTTTCTTTTTTTCTTTGCCAATTTTTTTCCCCATAGAATTTTTCTACATTTTTTCGAAAAGAAAGAATACAGAGTGGGAAAATACTTTTTTTTTCTCAATTCTCATATTTTCTAATTTTCTTTTTATATATTTTTATATAATTTCTTTTTTTGCATACTTTTTGCTAGGTGAAATAACTATATAACGAGGAAAGTCTGATTTAACTTATTAGGATAATAAAGATAAGAGGACAACGTTAATTTTTATTTTTTATTCGAATTTCAACGTTTATTTTTTAAAAATTATCCTTTCTCATACATTTTTATAAATTTTTATCTTTCCTTTTTTCTATTTTTTATTTCTCTTTTATTAATTGTATTAAGAAAGCTTAATTAATTAACATATTAGAGAAATAAAAAAGGAAAAGTACGAGCATGGGGGTAAACATCGTTCCGGTGATGAAAATAAGAATGGTGTGACACTAATTTGGAGACCCTTCATCCGGTTCATTGTAATCTGCCCTCGTATGAAGCAAGACTAATTTAATTTCTCTCTCTTTCTCTGTCTCTCTCACTATTTTTTTCACCCTCTTCTATCTGTCTATCCGCTCAGAAATGTCCGTTGCGCGATGAGAGGAAACCCACAGGAATAGTCGACTGACACGAACAATTGCCAGACTGCACGTATAATTTGATAAGAAAATGCATAAAAATGTTCTTTTACTAAAGTATAAAATATTTTACAAAAGTAACCAACAATTATTGCTCCTTTAATAATTTTTATTTTATCAATAATTAATAGATCCTAATAATAGAAATTTTTAATAATGAAAATAAAAATTATTACACAAATAAAAAATCATTTTAATACGAAAATATTTTGATGTTTATTATGTAATAAAACAAAAATGATTTTTTCGATTTATAACGATTGAAAATATCGATTTAAAAAATGAACATCTGTTATTACGAGACATTTAAAGCCAATTTCCAGGTTTTAAGCAGAATAAAAAAAAAAAAGAAATAAAAATGAACATCTAAAGAAGTAGTAGATTCACATCGAAGAATAATAGCTTATTCCGGCCATGAAATGATCCTGTATTATACAGACGAGTTGAACGAAG